AAAAGGAAGACAGGCCAACTTTTCGTGTCAAAGGGCAGACAGCTTCGGCCCTCGCGCAAATAGCAAGCCAAGGTTATTCTTTCAACGTGGCCATGGGTCAAAAGCCCATACCCCCAGTGAACATCCCAATCCCCACTAAAATAGACTAAACTGGGTGGTGCACCTACCCCCAAATGGTACCATTGGTGTTTTCCCCATGGCCATGTGTTTCGTTTCTCAGGAAGTGAGTCTTTCATGATATTAGAGACATGCTTCTTAGTTCTCAGGAAGTGAGTATTCCTATTCTGTTCAGAGCCATTTTGTTTAGGACTTTCATTTCGGCGTATCGCCAAAGATCCGGCCAGCCGAACGCTTGATTCGCCGAGCTGCCGTAAACTGGCCCGCGGCAATGTCGAAGTTGCGGTCCCCTGGCTGCACCACCACATCCTGAGGGACAGTCTGAAGCTAACTGTTGGTTCTATCCCCAAAATGGTGGTTTTTCTTTCGGTGTTAATTGGTGGGAGGACAATAAAAGCCCGGATTAGAAAACTCGTCCTGCGGCCCCAAGCTGTGACTTAACCCCTTGCTATCCAGTAAAGAGACGTTATCACAATGTAGGCTTGTGGGATCAATCGGGGTGTATCCCCACTTCTGTGATACTTTTGGGAATCCCCCTTTATATTCAAAAAAGAGTCTAGTCTTTGGGAAGCCCTTTCTGTATCACAGAAGTGGATTCCATTTCCCACAGCCCTGTCACAATTAGAACGCAAAAAAGGAACAACCAACCAAACCAACCAACATTCCATTCAACCAACCAAAAAAAAGGATGCCCTTTTTTCCAATGGCCACTGGGAATCTGGGATGTTGAAGCAACCAACGCCTTAGTAACGTACCCAATGCTTTGGAGAGACCTGAGTTCCGGGCATAGGCTTTCCGCAAGTCCCACCACGCCAGAGGGCGGGGAGCACGGCGTGCCCCGAAGATGCCGATCTTGAAGTCCTTCGTTCGAATCACCAAGCCTAACCCTCCATTTGCTGATGTTCCCTAAGCAAAATCCCTAGCGTTTGCTGATGTTCCCTAAGACAAATCTGGTAGTAAGAGTTGCCCTGTTAAAAAAAAAAAACAAGAGGAAGAATAGAACAAATATTCTTAAGCTAATGGAAGTAGCTGCTCAACCCTTGGCATGGTAGCATGAAACTTATTTTACAGCCCCCTGGTAAACATGAACAGAACCAAAAAGCAAAGCCCAAACACATGCCAAAAAAATGGGAAGCAAACCCCGCCCTAACCTCCCCTTTGATTGCTTCAAACAGGCAATGGTGACGCTGGAAATGGGGGAGTTACGGAGGGAGGTGTTTGGATCCGGCTTGCAAACCGCCCCCCGCTTAAGAAGCGCCGCTGAGGAGAAATAGGGTCAACTAAGGCCCACATAAGGTCTTTGGTTCCTGATGGTGAGGATTACTAGACATGGAATGGGAACAAAGTCGGATCCTGATGCGCTCGTGTTCCCTCTCAAAGGCTTCTTTGTTCTAGGCTAATAGAGCTCCACCAGCACATGAGCAGCGGGCTCCCACAGAATGTTGATGTTTGGTTCTACTGAACTGGCTGTTAAGGTTTACTGATATGGCCCGTACATTCATACGAATCATAGGAGTACCTCCCGTCCTCCAAATGGCTGTGGCTCAAAAACATGGAGCCCAAAATGACACCTTGGTACATGGAAGCAAAGACTAAAACCTGCATAACCCCAGGCCTTTCATTTTGAGCCATGCCCCAAATAAGAAGAAACCTCAAAGGGAATCATCATGAGACCCGATGTCAAAGACCATCCTTTTCAACAACGCCAATCAGAGAAGTCGTGACCCTTTCAAGTCAAAACTCCTGCCAGAAGGCGTGAACTTCGGGGATTCCAAGTAGACACTTCTAAATGTTGTTGCCTCAGTTGAACTAGATAAACAACTAAAAAACCAAACAACGGAAGTACAACTACATGACACAGATGCGAGAAAATGTGGGTGGTCAAAACTTCTTCTGCAAGCCATGGAGGTTGCCAGAAGAAACCCTCATAAAGTCAAAGACCTAAGGAGTCCATAATCGTCCCTGTGGATGGACGAAACTCGTTCGCACCGCTTTGAAACCATGGGAAACGCTTTTTCTTTGGTCGCCATTTGCAGAGGAGCCAACATTTGCGGCGTTTGCAGGTGGTGCAGGATTTCGTCCATCCACAGTGCTAATTCCAATCAGCAGTCGGCTTTGACTGCACATAGGGGTCAATGGTATGGTTCCCTACAAGGAATCCTGATCCAGAGCTCTCCCCCAAAGGATACCGCCTTCTTCAAAACCCGGGAAAATCCCGGATCCTAATCCGTGGTGGGAAAGCACTGCAAGGGAACCCACTGCCTGGCACAAAGATGAAGAGTCTGAAGAACCCCAATGTTTATCAATAGGGGGTCAGAGCCCCTCCAAAAGTGATCCCACTAAACCCAGAGACACCCCCCTATCAATAAGCAGCGGTTGATAAATATGGTATCGACATTGAAAGAACAACAGGACTCTTCAAAGCACCACATTGGTGCTACTGGTACCTTAATCGCGAAACGGTGCATCCTTTACGCCGCATAAGGATTAGTGCCAAAATGGGAGGATTGCCCAGCGGGCAGCTCCCCTCAGCAGCTGATGGGAGTAGAATTGATGCCACTCCCACAGCGAGGGAGGAATCCTCCCACCTCACCGGATGCCCTCCCGGCATCATGGGTGAGGAAGGAAAGTAGCGAAGATCAGCTTGATCAATTCGCTTTCGACTGAGGGGAAGACCCGGTTCTCAGTCGGAAATTGCGGGTCCGGATGAGTAAGTTCATCCGCCCATGTGTTAAAGTCGCGCTTCACATGCGACGGTCCTAACATGACCTGGTGGTCATGCAGTGTTAACACAATTTCCATGAGGATGGCCGCATTGGGCATCCTGCGAGTGGAATCGTTAAGCAGGGAGAAAACGTTTCCCTGGTTGTCCTCCTTCAGGGTCTCCCAGCCCTCCAGGCGGGTCTGATTCTGGGCCTTGTTTTTCGGGCCCCGCTGCCTAGGGCCCTGCAGCAGTGGCAGAGACTCCCAGACTCCCCAGAGCTGGCGCAGGGTGTAGCTGTGCCCGAACATCCCCAGTAGGCCTGGGAGTGTCCAGGACGAGATCTGGCGCGTCCAGTGGAAGTCCTCATCCGGATCGTGGGGGGCAGCCCAAAAGATGGATCGCAGGTCCCCAGGGTAGGGTCGGTCCCCCGCCTTCGCCTGCTGGTGCAACTCATCAACGGAGTACCTGGCCCAGGGGAGTCCACCCACCTGGTGGTTCCTGGGATGCGTACCCTTCTCCAACGCCTCCGGATTCACCTTGGTGAGGTTTTTCGCCCAATCCGGGACGTGTACCGGGCCCGGTCGTCGGACCCAGCGGCCCGCAAAGATACGGACCTCTCCGACCCGTTTGCTCATCATCCAGCGCAGGACCGAGAGCTGCACCTCCGGGTCCTTGGTGTCCAGGCCCACCGGGGTGGCGGACGGCTTGTCAGGGCCCTCGGCACCTGAGCTCGTCACGCCAGAGCCCGAGGCTGGGGGGATGGTGGGCGGCCTGTCAGGGCCCTCGGCACCTGGGCGCGCCGCACCAGAGCCCCCCGCCTTTGGCATGGGGATCCCTGTCAGGTCCGGCAGATCTGACAGGAGGGCCGCCGGGAAGGGATTCCTACCCAGCGAGATGACCGCCTTGGCCTCAAGGTAGGAGTCCGTGAGGGATGTGAGGTCGTCCATACTGAAGTCCCTCCATGCCGTTGTCGGCTCGAAGACCCCAGTCTCAATGGCGACCCGGACCTCACTAGGCCACGCACTGAAGGGAGGCGCGATGGGCTCGAGCATTCTGGTTTCGAGGGAGCCCTTCGCCTGTCTGGCTTGGTGTTTCGCTTTCGCCTCCTCCGCAGTGGTCTGGGCCTGGAGGAGCTCCGGTGTGGGTCTCCCCCAGTCCGCACCCAGCTTGTCCAGCAGCTTCTCACGGAAGAGGTCCAAGTCCAGGTTCTTCAGGAGCAGGCCTCCATCACCTCCTCCGTCAATGGCCCCCCCTTGAAGTTCGTGGAGGACCGCCGCGGAGCGCTCCACCGCTTCCACCTGGTCCGCCTTCTTGGCCTCCTCCTGGGCGATGGTGGTGGCGTTGAGCCGGGTCTGAATCTTGAAGGCCTTCACCGCAGACGGGTGGAAGGCTCTGCATTCCTGGCCCTCTTCCTTGTCGCCTGGCAATGGGGGCCTCTCCCCCGGTGGGGCCGTCAGAAACTCCTCGTCCAGCTCCATGGGGCAGTTCCTGATCACCGCCCGGACCGAGGAGGGGACGAAGTCCGAGAAGCTGGCCTGGTCCGGGTTCCATCGGGTCGGTGGCCAGCTCGCTGACGTCCACCGAGGCACTGAGCTTGAGGTCGCGGGCCCGGTCCGTGTCAGGGCCTTCCGCACCCGCGGACCGGGCCGCCGTCCAGACCGCATTGCCCTGGTCATCCACCGTAAACTGCCAATGCGTGCCCGCCATCTCCAGGGTGGCCGAGTTGGTCGCCGTGTCAATGGGCTCCGTCTTCTTGCCGCACCCCATGCACTTCGTGGCGCCCTTCTTCACCGGGCAGATCCAGGATGTGGGCACCTTGCCCAGGGGGCGGTTCTCCAGGCCCCCGTACCCCAAGCCAGCGCGCTTGCCAACCTGCTGTCCCGGGGTGCTGAGCCGGGCCTCATGCTCGTACTTCATCTTGGCAATGTAGAAGGCCTCCACAACGCGCTCCAGGCCCCCCTGCTTGAGTTGGGGGCCCTCAAAGCCTCGCAGGAGCCGCTGGACGTCCTTGGCCTGCAGTCGGCGGAGCCTAGTGGCCGTGGTCGCATCGAAGCAAGGGAAGTCGCCCGCCATCTGGTCGTCGCTGAACTGGTAGAGGCCCTCCGAGACCTTGAGGGCCTTGGTGAACACGCTCCCCCCCGGCGGGGGGGCTGCGGGGTTCTCATCCTCCTCCGAGGACGCCTGCTCCTTGACCTTCGCCATCAGCTCCCGGCGCCTCTGCCACTTGGCGTCTGCCCGGGCATCCAGGCGGGCCTCCTCCAAGCGGGCTGCAGCCGAGGGGGACCTGGGCATCGGCAGCTCCTTCTCGTCCTTCGCCAGGAGCTCCTCCATGGGCACGTCCTCCTCCGGCGGGTTCAGGAGCTCCAGGAACGCCCCTGGGGGGCGTGTCAGGGCCTTCGGCACCTGCGCCACCCCAGGGGCTGCATCTTCCATCGGCTCATCCTCTGCCTTGCGCTTGGCCGGGATAAGGGGGGCCTGCTCCAGCTCATCTGCGCTGGAGAAGAAACGCTCGTCAGGTGCCTGAGGGACCTCAGCAGCCAAAACGGTCCATCCTTCTTCCTCCCTCTTCACGAGGCTCGCCAGGTACTTTGCCATGGAGGCCTTTGCCTTAGCCTTGGCCTCTGCTACCGCGGCACCAGCGTAGGCGGGGGCGTACATGGCTTTGAGAGTAGGGGAAAGAAAGATTTCAAATCACAAGACAAAAGATCAAAAGGTCCACTTGAGCCAAAATGGTGGCCCAAGTGGATACTTATTAAGAGTCAAGACAAGCGACCACCTACGGTTAACGCTTTAGCCCAGAAACTCTTTTTGACGTTTTGCCATGTGTTTCACACCTAAACACTCAATGACTACACGAATTGACCCTTTAAATTCGCATTCGCCCCTGACAACAATCTGAAGCCACCAAACGAGGAATCTGGGAGTCAAACCATTCAGAACAATCGTTGGGTTCATATGACCATTACCTAAGGATTGTCATCTAAATTGGGTCCCAAGGCCATGCTTTTTAATACGAACTGGCAAGGAACCCTAGGGAGGACATCTACGGGAAGAGGACATATGCTTTGGTTGCTGCTGACCCCGCTGCAAACAGTTTTTTTTTTAACTTGTGTGTTCAATTTGGAAAAAACACCTTTGATTTCAAGCAGCAAGTCGAAGTCTAACTCAGTTGCCCAAAGGACCTGGAACTAAAAGGTTAACCTTTTGGGGCCTTTACTAAAGATAGACCAAACTTGGAAAACCAAAAGGTTAAAAGGTCGGCTTTGGGCAACTGAGCTAAAGATCCGTCACCCACTAGCCATAAAGGAAGGTATCAAGGGTTCTTGGGGGCGGCAAACAGAGCGCAAGAGCGACAGAATGGACTGAAGGGCCAAAGATGTGCCTGCTTAAGCCCGCTGGAGAAAAACACAAAAAATAACATACTCCCAATAGTGATAGATTCCCTTAAAAAACACAAACAAAAACAGCTTCAGAGGAAATAGAACATATTCTCGAGCAAATGGAAGCATTTGAGCCACGGTGAATACTTGTTGTGTGTTTTTGTGGACTTGTGGCCAGCAACCGCCCTTCAGTGACAATTTGGTGAGTGTACCCAGTGTCATTCCAGTGACAGCAGCAATCAACACGATGCTAGGCTCCATCCTACATTCCATCCTAGGTTCCGAGGATCCATCCTAAGCTCCTTCTAGGTTCCATCCTAGGTTCCATCGTCGACGACTCGACGTTTCACTCGAGTTCTGGTCCTCCTGAGAGGCCCAGTGCATCAGGGCAGTGCCAGACACGCACTGAAAGACCAGCCTAGGAGGCAGAACTGAGTGGCTTGTCCTTTTTTGAGTTGGCACCCCGGTGGTTGGTGGGTTGAAGGGGAAACCAACAGGAAAACCGCAAACGGTTTTTGGAGTTGGTGCCCAGAGCCTCCAATTCGAAGCATTTAGGGCCCTCAAAACAGCCAGGTTTTGAGACCCCCAAACACCTCCGGGGTGTCTAATGGAGGGGTTGGGTCTTCCATTGAAAGCCCCAGGAGCCTCTGGGGGAAAACAAAGGAGAACCCACCTTTTTGGGTCTTTTCAAAAATGGCACGCCTTAAATGCAGAAGGAACTCATAGTGGTTCATGGAGCCCTCGCCTAAGATAAGCTTTCAGTGGAATACGTCAATGAAGCCCTCTATTCACTCAATATGTCTACCTTGGGTCCTGCGTCGGACCCGAATCAATCATGCAGAATTCCATGACCCCTTTCTTTTGGGTAGCGACCAGCCGTTTTCAAAGGAGACTCTCACTTCCTGACTGAATTGGCCAACAAAAAGTCCAAACTTGTTGGTTGCCACTAAAGTTGTCTTCTCAACAAGTGTTACGTTCAGGAACTCAGGAAGTGACTCCATGTGAAAGTCTAGTCTGGCTACCGGCCAAGCCCTAGGAATTCTGCAGAACCGAACAAGTGGATTGACCCGCCTTCCATAGGGCTTTGGAAGGGGGAGGGGACCTCAAGGCCTCTTTGTGGATCAAACCTGTCGCCCCAAAAAGTACGAACAACGGGAAGCGTGAACCATGGTCATGGTGTTCCTGCTAGGATCTTTTAGGATGCTTGCCCAACAAGTGGTACTTGCAAATGGATGAGCATCCCTGTCGACCCCAAGCAAAAGGGTACTCCAATCACGCGAATTTCCAATGTTGAGGGTAGTGTGATGTTCCAGGAACATATTAATCTTTGGCAGTACACTCCCGTTAAGCATGAAACCCAAAGCGTCCCGTTTAGAGGAAAGTAGTCGATGGGAGTGTGAACAACCCTCCCAAAGAAAATGGTTTGGTTCGCACAACTCCTTTGAAGACTACCTGAAGTCTCCTTCTGACCCTCAACAAAAAGGGAAGTTCCATGACGAAGCTAGCGCGATCTATCTGTTCCTCAAGTAGAATATCCATCCTATGAGTCCTATGACTAATTGTCAACTGTCAAGAGGATTGCACAAAAGTACTGCAAAACACAATGTTCAGGACAGAAGGTGAATGGCCCAACCAAAACGTGGTTAACGTTCAAACCGAAACCAAGAAACACGTTCGTTCTACAATCTCAAATTTCAGAATGTCAACCACCCTTGCTCAAAGAAGCTGCAAGAAGGTCGCCCTCCTTTGACCTGTCCGCCTTACCCGCCGACTAACGTGGAACCAAACAAACATACCATTCCCCTTTGATTCCGTCTGGAGAGTAGGTAAGTGGATGACCACCCCCCCTGGCAAAAAACAACAACATATTTCCAGCTTGATAGAGATTCCCTTTTAAACATGATCAGGTGGGAAAATTACACAAATATTCAAATTTCAGCTCACATTGAAGTAAATACCCCATACCCTCCCCCCATACCCTCCATAACCCACCACACTGCTCCCAAACGAGTCAATGACAGCGAATACGTCTCCGGGCCTGAAGTTGTCGAAGTGCAGGTTCATCCTTCCCCAGCGAGCTGTCACCCCGAAAGATTGCTTATGTGTTTTTTGTCACGCGGTCGTGGCATGTCCAAACCCGGAGTTTCCATTGAAAGGGGCCGCGAGTATAGGTGTCCTTTTGGTTAAATAGATGGCCCTGGTAAATGGAATGAATCCTGCCTAAACCAGGGAACTCATCTACTTCTATCCAAACTAACCTGAAAAGGACACTTATGGCCATGCCCCCTTTCTTTGGAGAATCACCAGCCGTTCTCAAAGGGTCAGAAGGGGCCTCCAGGGAGTATCCTTGGTAACCCCTGGAGGATGGCTTGTGGGTGTCAGGGGCTCAATTACATTGGAAAACTAGCGGGACTGCCGCGGTTGCAGAACCAGCTGATTGGCAAGTTCGAACTGCCCTTGGGACCGCAGTTTCCGTAGCATGCAGCATTGAATTGAAAGGAACCCCTCTTGGTGGAGAATTTCCATCTTCAATCGAAGCAAGGCATGTGCCAAGAGATTCAAAAAACTCCGGATCAGTTCGCTGTTCGCTTCTGGTTCCGCAAGGCTTCCTCGGTTGCGAAATCTGCTCCCTTGCTAAAAATGACTGACTTTTCTTTGGGTCTTGACGCCAGCGCAGATCTCAACTTGTTGGTTTTGGGTCCTTAGGGTATGGTCCTCCTCAATCTGATTAAACGGAATCCTGCACCAAAGAAACCCTGATGATTCACCTGTACCAAACCAACGTTATGGTTTCCACCATGGTTTAGGCAACTGTGGCCTATGGTTTCATTTCGTGGTGCGAGATTCGCGGATGTCGCAACCATCTATAATATTACCGACAACTCTTGTATCTGGTGGCATTCAGATCAAGCAAAAGGCCCCCTGTTCAGCTCGCCAGTGCCAACCATTTCTCCGAGGTGTCTGAACCTTTGCTTGGCAAAAAGTATGATTTGTGGAAAGCCCAACCGTTGCACTGAGATCTATCACATCTGTTTGCTTTTCAACAATCCAACGGAATGCGTATTTTGTGTTGTTTCATGAACTTCAAATGGAAAGATTGAGACCAACAAATATGAACATCAAGCGTCGGAGACCATGGCGGAACCAACCAACCACATTGAACCAATGCCATGGTCCCTCTTCCCTTCCCTGCATACAGTTCCGAATATATTTCTCTAGCATACACTGCGGCACTGCGCCTGAAGATACCCTCCTGCAGATTAGTAACGTAAGGAACCCCAAAAATCATCAGTTTAGAGGCATCTCCACATCAATGGACCCCTTCTTTGGGGCTCGTGTGAGGCTGCAAGAGAGCTAACTGCAAACGAGCAACCGTGGCTGATGTGTGCGTGTGTGTGTGTGACCTGGACGGATTGCTTGGGCAAAATGAACCTGTCTCACAAACTTGTCCAGCGGCTCCCTCCGAAAGCACGAGCCATCGTTTTGATTCTCATTCCTATGCCTGCAGTCTCCATGACCCTTTAATAATGGGGATATTGCCAAACATTACGTCTCTACTCTTGGTATGGTAGCAAACAACTCTGGTTTTTGCAGACCCCCAGAAAAAATGAACTGAACCAAACAACTAAAAACCAAAAACATGCCAAGAACAGTGAAGATTAAGTGGCTATGACCCCCCTTTTCTAGGGGTCAGAAGGAGACTCTAGGTGTGTGCTTTCGCGCATGCCTGTTCGCGTGCTTTGCTTCTGTCCGTTGGCAAGCCTTGGCCCTGGCCGCTTAACAACGCCCAATAACCTCGACAGCTGATAGGATCATGTCGTTTTGGGAAATCACGTTTGTACTACCAAAGTAGGCCATCTTCATGACTACTTTATCACTTTCAATCGGTATCATACAAACTGTATTATAGTGCCAAACCCCAGCTTTTTGCAATGGATGGAATCGCAAAGCTGTCCAGCTTTCTGCAATGGATGGAATCGCAAAGCTGTCCGCACTTTGATCCAAGTATCTTCAAACAACGATTGGGCATTCGCATGGGTTGTTGCCACATGCTGGATGCGCATAAGTCGGAACCCGTTCAACGGCTGTCTAGAACCCTATGAACCCTCCCAATCGGGTATGCTGAAAAATGCATGAAAACCTGATGAGGACAACCATGTCACACATCGAGCTCATAGAACCTGCTGGCAAATTTCCCCTGTAGCCGATCGAAAAAAAGGCCCGGCGCCACGTCGACAAACTCGTTGGCCTGTCAGCTGAATAGTCATTGTCCGGATGCTGGCCTGGCCAGGAAACAGCGCGGCAACTCAAAATCAAAACTTGGCGGCCGAAAGAGCAGCGCCACAGGCCGAGCTGTTGCTTGCTTGACACTAAACTGGGCTCTCCGTTTTCAGATCCGGGCAAACTGGATTCTGATTTAACGTAAAAGAAAACCAACCAAACGTTATGGCTTTCAGCCATGGTTTCAGACAATGGCTTTCGTCCATCCACAATATGGGCGCCCCTCAAAATTGCGGTCCCCACATACAGCATGTTTTCCATGCGGTGTCCCCCTAGCCAACCATAAAAAGTGCCGGACACACAGACACACAGACACACAGACACACAGACACACAGGCGCGCAGACGCGAAAACACACAAAGACACACAACACACACTCTCTCACACACACACACATTTGGTTGGGATTCATGTCCACCAACTAGTTTTCAGGTAATCCCCTACTAAAGCTCATGGCCAGATTTCATCATCTAACCCACAGCTGTGGAGCACGACGAGTGCCAAGGTGGCGCCTCCATAGGAGCCGTTAGGGTCGGAGGTGGCCATGATCCAGCCTCATCGTTTTCCAGTTTGCGCGTCTCACTTCCACTCGAGTTTCGCGGCCGGCCAAAATTGCCGTCCAAGGAGTTTGCTACTCAGATGGTCCAGACACAAGTGACTGAAGTCCAGGAACTCAGGAAGTGAGGTGTTCCTCCAAAGCTCTGGACAACTATGATTCACCAATTCTAGGGCGCGGGGGAGAAAACAACCACCCTCCACCCAAGGTTCTCAGAGCCCCTCGGTCTCTAACCCTTCCTGTAGGTCGTGGGAGGCCTTGATTTTCCCCGCAAGAACTCGGTGGCGAAATCTGCGAAGCCCTGCTAAGAGTGACGAACTTTTGGTGGTTTAATACGGAAAACCCCTCTTCGTTGGCAAGAAGTTAAAGTCCTAACATCCAAGCAAAATGCGCCAAAGAATAAGTTTGCCAGTGGGGATGCAACTTTTTGGTGGCTGGCAGGTCAGCTCCAAGTCCTGTCCTCATTCAGGTGCTGCATAGGGTTGGGGGTCCTTTCTGATGCGAAACACATGTTGCCCTTCGCAAGCGATCGGATTCATTCGAACCCGCTTGGAGATTCTATATGGAAAATGCACCACAAACCTTTCCATCCAGACTCCGAAGGCATCTTCCTTCAAGTGGCAAAAAAACCCTGCCAACCCACCAAAGAGAAGCTCCATCTTCACGTCGGCGGGTGATGTTCAACCCGTCTTATAAGGCGAAGTCTACTTTGTGGGTCAAAAATAGGTAGCCAACATGGACCCTGGAAAATGAAGCCAAGGACTAGGACCTGCGGTCCAATTCCTGGTGGTTCAGCTTTGGCCCATATTGGCTTGGACCCCAGCGCAAGCCCCTTCGATTTGCTCCCGGCTCCAAGGGCCCAAGAGAAAATTCTTCCCCAGGCTCCCGGCAGCTGGTGGCCGGGAACCGCCAAATCTTGAGACATGCTGTGGATGGTTGCGAAATCCATTTCGCACCTGAGAAACCCGAATGAATGAGTCGATTCCCCTGCAGATACCAACAAACAATGGCTTCCTAGTATGTCACAGTGCAGGATTTCCGTCCATGCACAGTACCCACATACTTATCGACGTTGTAGCGATTGCTCCGAAAGGGATGTGTCAAATCTTGCTGTCAAGCTGCAACGTGCATGGCAGGGACTAACATTTGCACAGGATCCCTGAGAAGGAGGGAGCCAAAGCAAAGAGTTGAAAGGGAGTGCAGTCCCACTGGGCGACAGGGAAGCGTTCCAACGTGGACAAAGCTTTGAACCCAAGCATCGCTCGAGGTTCGGGAGGCCCCGTCCAAAAAGGGGGCAAAAAAGTGGGCACGCACCCCCTCCAAGCAAGCGTTGAACACTGGCACCTTCGCTTGGTGAAAACACTTAGCAGGACACCCCCTTTCGAAGAAAAAGTTGAACAATCGCACCACCCAAAGGCAGTACCTGTGCCATCAAGCTAACCTTAAACAGGAATATTGCCCT